TGAAGATTCAATTGGTGCTGAATCAAACGTCTGGGACAATAGCTCCGCACCTAGGGTAGATTGGGACGTAATAGTTGATAACTATGAAGAACGGGATTAAAGTTGAAAATCAGTTTGATAAGAAGATGGATTGTTTACCTAAGTAGCTGATGGTCTAGCTCTGCGGAGTCTTTTCCTAGTAACGGCCTTTTGGGTTGCCCCTTGGACCACCTTGCACTTTGAAGATTAGTATGTCACAATCGTGGGGGCAGCATGGGTCTTCATCAATTTCTTTAGTGAAGGTGCGGCCGATCCTATTCTTAAAACTGGGTATGGTGGTTGATAATCTACAAGACGCCCCTTCATATCCAAGCTCGAAGGATCAAATTTAGTGTCATAAAAGGGTCAGTTAGGACAATTGGCGAAAGAATTCATCGAACAGTTTTCTTAAAAAGAAATGGCAAGTTACCTCTCTGTCAGAAACAAATTCCCCATCCAGAGCTATACACAAAGGTGGACCAACCCACAGAAAAGATGGGAGTGCATTCTTGCCACCAGGAGTCGAAAAGAGTGGAAGAGAAGCTGACTCTGATCCAGTCATGCAAGCAAACGGAAGGAAGATATGATCCTAGTTGGAAAACTCTAGAGGCTTCTAGTACTTCACTGATACCTTCTCTCGGCCTCAATATGTCATTGAAGAAAAGTTGAGGAGGCAATTGACCAAGACCAAGCCAACGAGCTACAAAAGAGGGGTTGTAAAATTCATTGGTTGAAAGGTTGCCTGGGAGGAAGGAGCCTGTAGCTATTTTGCCACGACCATGACAAAATTCGGCTGGAAGGACATAGGGCTTGATGAAGGAATCAAAGATTACAGCCATTGTCTCGTCCAAACAGCCTGATTCAAATCAAAATTTAAATGGGAAGATCAGCTCATCGTTCTCATCCTCATCATTGGGTAACCAAGTCAGGATATCTACATCAAATCCTCTGTAAAACTTTTTGAAGAGGTGGCCAACATCAACAGTAATTGTTATGACCGATGCAGCTTCACCATAGCTCATGCACTGACGGGTTCTTCCTTCTTCACCTTTATATTCCTCATCAAAGTTGGAGGAAGGGAAACTCAGGTTTCTAAGATCAGGCCTTATAATCTTGTACATATACAAGTTCAGCCACAATTGTATCAACCATCAAGGGCCACTGATAGTATATATTGGTTCATTCTTTAGTAATTGTGCAGCTACCTGGTGCATCAGATGATATGCAGCTCCTACCAGATACTTTTTAAGAGGGATATCCTTGCCTACTACCAGATGCTCTGCCATGAGTTTATAATTATAAGTCGGACCACAAGATGACCCACAAAAGATGAATCTCTCCAACCACATGTTCAGAAAGGCCACATATTCCCTTTCACTGACAATTGATTCATCTCCAATATGATTCAGGATGTAATTGGCCCATCCTATGCAGTTTGATATCTTGGCTAATTTCTTGGATCCAGCACTTAAGAAGTCATAAGGCTGCATTGATCCTGTTATTCTGAGGCCGATCAGCATATAAACATCGGCCAAAGTGATAGTCATTGGGCCATGACCAAAAATAAAGACATTTAGGGTATTGGACCAGAAAATAAGATGCAAAAATCAGGAGTGGATCATTCCTCTCCATTCCAGACAACGAGAGTGTCAGGCATTGATTTAGATCATAAAGCTCCCAATCTCCACCGTTTTTCTCAGACACCCTACGGAACCAATTTCTCCACCCCTTAGGCATCTTAGGCCAGTTTCTGAAGGGGATTTTGATGTTCTAGGAGTACGAATCCACTACAGACTGTTTGAAGGGGATTTGGTTGGTTTCTTGATGGATAAAATTAGATGGATTCGGATCACCCATAGGTCCAAGAAAATAAACATTGAAAGCAAAAGCTGATGGAATTAAGATTTCGCTCCTTATTTTCTAGAAATCGGATAAAATAAATTTGAGGGCAAAGGAAATGCAGGGTAGCGACCGATGTTTTGAGAACGGGAACTTGAAAGCATACCTCAGGGATATGGTCGCTGGTCGCCATCACAGCCGGGGCAGATTTAAATCCAAAGAAGATCGCTTCAACGAAGGCTTGATGGGGCAGAAGATTTGTTAGGTTTAAGGCCTTGGTGGAGGCGGCGTCGGCTATTAAGATTTTGCTCGAGAAAAAAGGAGAAAGCGAACAGGCCGAATGAATTGGAAAAGATACTATTGGGATATTATATAAGACTCAGGCCAGGAAGTCAGGAGTAACGCGTGTATCTTGGAACAGAACAGTTGTGGCATGGTGAACAGATAAACGGAAATTTTGGAATAAAATTATTTTTATCCCAAAATTAGGGGGCATGTGTTTACACCAAAATTTGGGAGAAGAACGCGGGAACTCGAAGGCTTCCAAGATTGTGTCAATCAAGGAATCGATTGAATGAGAATCGGTAGCAGCTGATTCAGATATGACACTGGAATCGGCTCTCTTTGAATGACATCAGCAGATAACGATGATGAGCTACGGTTGGCGTCGGGAAACTACATATCTAACTCTACAAAAAGGGAAAGATTAGGGTCCAAGTTATCTTAAGATAGGAATGTTTTCTTTTATATCAAAGATTGTAATGAGTCGTACTCGAGTAGGATTCATGTTTAGGCTCCGGGTATAAATATTGGACCCCGGCTATTGTAAAAGACACAATCAATCAAATACAAATTACTTACTTTTTCGGCTCCGGCCACACCTTAGGAGTAGGAGTAGAGTAGATCTCGACGAGTTCTTCAGCAAGCATGGCTGCATCGGTCCGGTCGACCTCCGGCTTGTCTGTAAATACCGTTATGGCTTATACTTCTATTCGTATGGCTGCATCGATTCGGTCGACCTCCACTGCGACTCTAGTATAAGCTAGTTATTGACTCTTGTCTAATTCAAGTGCGGCTGCATCGATCCGGTCGACCTCCACTGCTCGAACTAGATTAAGGTCAAGTTATCGGCTCTATCTAAGGGAGGCGTTCTTTGGGTAGATTCATTAAGTTACTGATCTTACTGATGTTTTCATTGTTATTAGTTTACAGCAATATCGATTTGCCCGGTCGAGATCGAATTAGATCGGACCTATATCCTTTCAGTCCGTCGTTCGCTTTACTACAACACGATGTCTCTTACTCTGAGCGACGGATTATGCTTCATCGACTGTTTTTACTTTGATCTTGATCGTGCATAGTACACGAAATAATCTTGAAGAGGTTTGCTGGCTAGTTGAATCTAGTTTATAGTTCACCATTATGGCTGTAACGATCTGGTCGATCCCCACTGATGACACTGTAGATTGGAGGATGCTAGTTAGTAGATTTGTTCTTGGTTAGGCATGACCTTAGCTGTTTGCTATGCCTGCATCAGCTAAATAGTTGAACGCCTGTGCGTTAACACCTACGGTGTGTGTCTATGATTCTGTTAATCGTGAATAGATCTGTGTGCTTTAAGGGTTTGATTCGTTGTCTTTTTCACGGCTGCATCGATCCGGTCCACTCCCACTGTTAGTGACAGCAGGTTGAGTCTAAGGAGTCCATAGGTTTGTTCATGTGAAATAGTCGAATGTTCACACGCTGTAGTCCTTTTCATCTGAATCGGCTGTTTTAGTCGATTCATCCGAGCCTTCACGCATAGCATATCTTTCGAAAAGCCTGTTGAAGTACGGATGTTTTTGTGGATTCTTCGGTTTTAGTTTGTTATTATCATCATAGCTGCCATCGATCCGATCGAACCTCACTGTTGGTGGTAACAGATTAGATTCAGAGCGTATGTGGATCTGTTTGTATTAGATAGTCGATTTGTTCGCATGTTATATCTTTTCTCGTTTGATTCATCGGCTCAATGATTCATACTGATAATATCTACCTAGCTGATGATCTCATTTACATATACGTGCACTGTACCTGTCAACATAAAATCAATCGCTACCCACGAGCTTTATAGGCCGTAGCAGCCGATTTCTGTGTGGATCAGCTATTTAATCGTTCTTCTCGTATGGCTGCTCCCAAACCGACACACTTGGAACTGTCTGGGCACAGACCGGCACGTTCCACCTTAAATTACTGATAATCTTTCTCTCCTTGTCAATTATAGGGTCAAATTGACTGGCACGTCTCGGGAGGAGTACGCATGACTAATCATCCCTACGTTGAAGCCAGGCGGATCACCAACTCCATCGAGCAGACCCTTCCGGCTTGCTCGTGTGCCGGCACGATTAACACATTTTCGTGACGACAAATGTTTTTAGGTATTAAGCAGGGGTGAAAGACAATCGATGGTTTAGAGGTCGAGGAATCTAGCTAAGGTGAAGAAAAATTTACATACGTTTGATGATAAAAATGACCTGAAACCTCCGACACAAGTCATATGCTCAAGGTGCACATGTCAAAAGTGTTAAGTGATGAAGACCCTAAATTATGCATGATCAATGTGGTAAGCAATTGGACAAAGCGAAGCTCAAGCGAAGGTTAAAATTTAATTCATATTTATTTCTTAAGTATATATAGGTGTGGCACACTATCCAGAGGGATGCATCTCTGAATTTGAGATAAACAATGGTGCTCAAGTTAACCTATGAGAGAAAAAAGAGTAAGAAACAAGAGTGAGAGAAGGACATCCAAAAGACCTAGCCCCAACGGATAGAATTTGAAACCCCGACTATGCTGGGTTTCAACGTCAGCTAAGCTGACTAGTCAGCTCAAATGGCTAGTTTAGCAGGGAGATCTAACTATTTGCCACTCTTACGGTGGCTGCCTCTCCGTTTGCCAACTTTATCGTGTCAATTACAAAATTGTCCGAGAAAACAGTAACCAGGCTAATATTTTGCCATTTTCGCTGACATGTCATGCTAGATCAGCACGCCAGCGTGGAAGTTAACGCCTCCGTCTCCGCTGACCAACGGCGCCCGCAACTGTTCGTCAGCTCTCCGTCTGTTCTGTTACAGATCGCAGTCACCCATCCCCGGCACGTTCTGTTACAGCACGTACACCATGCCCACCTCGAGCAGCGACGCCGGCGGCACGCGCAGCGCCACGTCCGGGCCGCGGCAGTTCCGGCGCAGGAAGTTGTAGCCGACGCCGACTGCGACTGCCAGCCTCTTGAGCAGCGACGACCCGGGCTTGGTCTTCACGTGCGAGTGCCCCAGGATGAACGCCGTGCCAGCTTCCCGCGCCTCGCACAGCTCGTGCAGCTCCTCCAGCACGCTCTCGTCCACGCCGGGGCTCCTGGGCGGCGCCACCGCGAATCTCACCTGCTTCTTCACGACCACCGGCGCCGCGGCGAGCTCTATGCCGTCCACGCGGTCAGAGCTAGACGACGCGCCGTCGTGGGAGTGGGATTCGTCGTAGCCCAGGCTCATGTGGCGCCGCAGCGGGTTGCTGCCGATGACTGTCAGCGCGTTCTCGCGCTCGTAGTAGCTGCTGTCCCGCTGGTCGCCGCCGCCGGCGTCGCTGCAGCGGAACAGCGCGTCCAGCTTGATGAACGTGGCGAGGCTCTCGACGAGCTCCGTCTCGAAGGAGTCCACGTCCTGGTGCACGTCGCGGTAGCCGTAGCGCACGATGTAGCGGTAGGAGCGGTGGCCCGGCGGGCCGACGCGGCCGACGAGGTAGCGCTCGGCGGGGAGCACGTGCGGCACCGTCACGGACTTAACGCAGACGAAGACCAGCACCCGATGGAACGCCGGCAGGTTGGTCACGAAGCGGGAGAAGTTGGCTGGCACGCCGGAGGTGAGGTCGGTGTAGACGAGGCCGATGCCCGGGACGCGCACCATGCTTGTCGCCCAGCGCCAGCAGCCACTCTAGGGTTACCTTGTTGTGACATGTCGTACTGGTACTTCTTGATCGTCGTGTGGTGCCACACGAACATGACGACGAGCAGGATGAGCGCCAGGAGGATCGGCAGCCACGCGCCTTCCAGGAACTTGATCAGCGACGCCGAGAAGTAGAGCGCCTGAGCCGAAGAAGAGGAAGAAGGCGAGGGCCAGCCATGGAGACCGGTCCCAGCACAGCATGATCACCAGGGACATGAGGCACGTCGTCACCAGCATCACCGTGATCACGGCCAAGCCTGCACAACAATTCAGAAGCAAAAGTTCAGGTATATGGTTAGATCAGTTTTCACATGATCATCAGTGCCAGGAAAGCAAGATACTCTACTCACCAGACGCGTTTCCCATGTGCTTGGTGTTACGGAAACCAACAGTGACAGCAATGCAGAGGACCATGAGGATCCAGTTGACCTCAGGGATGTATATCTGGCCATGAACTTTGTCAGACGTGTACGACTTTCACCCTGGGGAAGCAGCTCAGTGACTGGCTCTGGCTGATGATGGAGAACGTGCCGCTGATGATGACCTGGCTGCCGACCACCGACGCCAAGATCGCCAGCACTAGCACTGGCCATCTTACACTCTCTGCATTCATCACAGAGGCAAAAGCCTGTGAATGTCTGAAACTCTGAAAGCGTAGTGTGATGTGAGAATAAACCAGCCATGTAGTAGTGTGGCGTACCAGAAACTGCAATGTAACCAATTTGGTAGCTTGCGTCAGGTTATGGTGCTGGGACAAATAAGCAGCTTGGCCCATGTATCCCAGGATCAGTGAAGTGTACACAAAGAAGTGAAAGCAAGCTGAAAAAACGACAGACTTCATCCAAAACGTAAGGGATTGAGTGCCCTGTAGACCTGGGGGTTCCAGCGGATGATGTTGTACAGGCCGATCGTGCTCATGCAGAGCAGCCAGGCGAGGATGATCGGCGCGAAGAGGAACCCTACGCGGTGGGTGCCGTAGTGCTGGAGCGCGAACAGGAATACTAAAATGGCGCAGGTTATCGGAATGACGAACAGTTGCGGCGCCATTGGTCAGCGGAGACGGAGGCGTTAACTTCACTCAAAAATGGCAAAATATTAGTTTAGCAGGATTTTATAATTGGCACGATAAAATTAACAAACGGAGAGACAGCCACCGTAAGAGTGGCAAATAATTAAATCTCCCAGTTTAGCAGGAAACGAACCAAAAACCGACCTCAGGCTCCTCTGAGCGTCACTCAACCAAAAAAAAAAAAAAACTCTGAGCAACGTTCTCCACTCTCCTCGGGGGTCCAAATAAAAAAAAACCAAAACTGTGTCCTCCCTCCGCTCCCGCCGCTCTCCAGCCAAATCCGCGTCTAGAAGCTTCTAGATCTGTCCCTGGCGCCGATGGAGCGGCTCGACTCCAAGTTCCACGAGAAGTACACTGCTCTCAAGGTACCGCGGGCACGCCCGCTTCTTCCTCATCCCGTTTCTATGGCCAGCCCGCGGTGGTTTGACACTGCAATTATTGTTTCCCGGTTCAATGCATCGCCGAGCCGCAGAAGAGGAAGCTGCTGTACGAGGGGCTGGAGCGGAAGCGGGAGGCGCAGCTCAAAGAGCTTTACGATGGTATAAGTCCCGGCCGAACCTATCTCCGGGCCGGACTCAATTTGGGCGGGGTTATGGGAATGGGAGGGAGGGTTTTGGGAGAAGCTTGTTCTTTTTCCCCTGCTTTGATTTTTTTTTCCTTTTGTTTTGATGTTGCAGCCATGAAAGATTGGGTCAGCGATCTCAACAAAGACAATGCGGAGCTCAACGAGAAGCTGTAAGATGATAATTGTTATGCTTGTGCGCGGGTTAGGGTTTTGACGTTTTGTTGTTTGGGGAGGAATTGGTGCCTATATCCTTGCTTATATCCCTTCTCTTTTGTTTTATTTTTGGCTAATTGATGTTTTCAGGGTGGAAAAGCAGGATGAGCTCGAGAAGACCCGTCAGGAATTCCTTGAAGATATTCATAGTAATACTATCTATCCAATCTCAAAGTTCCTTTCTGTCTTGTCATGAGAAGTAGTTTCTTTGGTCCAAGTATTATTACCTGTGACAATGTTTTTTATTTTTTTCTGTCTAGTCATGAGAAGTAGACACGAATTGGGTTAATCCTTTTGAACTGATTCCCCTTAATTAATGATATATTTATGCATCATGACCGACAGGACCTGTTTTCTGGACCTCTTCAATGAATATTAAATGCATTTTTATTGTACATATAATGTGTTTATTATTTTCTAATTCTCACTGCTTCCTATGTTTTCGTTCCTGTGTTCCAAACGCCATGGTCAGTGGGAATCCTCTATTTTTCCACTCCTCAGTTTTGCTATTACATTCCCATCCAATTCCTGCATTTTTTCCCCTTTCCTATGTTTTGTATTCCTTTGTTCCAAACAGAGTTGGTTTAGGTGGCACAATATTTACTTATTTTCATTTTTGTTTCATGCAGCAAGGGACAGTGAAATTCTGAGGCTGAAGCAGCTCTTAGATGAGAAGGCTGAAAAGAGCAATTCTAAAGCTACTGGTCTTCTTGGCAGAACACCTGAATCTATCCTAGAAAATTCAACTCTAATGTCACCTAAAAGAAAGACACCACTTTCCCACGGCAAGGTAAAGAGGGTACAGTTGACTGAAAATGCTCCTCACAGTAGCCCCACGGAGGAATCTCAAGAGGTCAGCTTAGAAATCTGAGTAGTTCCTTTTCATGTACAAGTATTTGAGTGAGCTTTGTTTACTAATCCTTCTTGTGGCTTGATTTGATCTGATACTGCAGCTAGAATGCTCTATAAGACATATGTGCATCTCAGGTTAGTGAAAATTTAATTTAATCTGTCACTACTTTGTTGCATTACTTGAAATTAATTTAGCCAGTGTGTTTGTTGATTCAGGGAATGGGACAAAAGAAATTCGGGGTGCTCATGTGCTTTGTTCGCTGCTTCAATCTTTAGTTCGCATGAAGATCTCAGTAAAAGATGAAACAGAAATATTTTTGATTTCAGTCTCTCATGAAGCTAGTGGTACTTGCTCATGCTGAATCTCATGTTCTTGTTTTACTACAGCTCAGGATTAGCATATCTGTTATGCTTTATACTTTTCGTGCTTGCGCTGGCACTATCATTTTTTGGACAGTTACATGTTAACAAAGTAGCACCTTTCATATGGTTTCATTTCATTCCATTCCAGGATGTATTCACTCTCTCTCTCTACTCTCTAGTCATGTAATATAAATGAATTGATTCTGATCCTTACAGAGTTTAAACTGCTGCAGGTTACAGTTTCACCCTCACTTGGTTAGAAAAATCTGATGAATGGTCCTATAAGCTCTCCTCGTTGGGCACCCTGGAAAGGATAGCTGCTGATTGGATGAAGCAAGACATAAGATTCAGCATGAATATGTGCCGTATGTTCTTTGGGCGGATCTCAAGCATCATATCAAAAGGATGACATCATGTTCTTCGCTTCAGGTAGCTGTATCGGTCTGCCTAACAAACTTGTAAATGGAAGCCTCCCGATGTAAAAAATGATTTGATGCACTATCTCATTGCAGAACTGCCGTTGATGCACTATCTCATTCCACATCATGCTAGGGTAAAAAATGAATCCCTGTGTCGAGCTCGAGCATACTGGTTTGTGGGCGACAATTGTTGCCATCGCTTGTATTCCTGTTTCGGGTCACGCACTTCCATATGCATAAACTTACAGTAAACGAGCTAGTATTGCGGTCAATTTTGCTCCAGTCCAAATGGCACCGAGACAATTTTGGAATTATGAGTTCCTTGTGGACTGTGTAAATGAAAATGTAGAATGATGTGGAATTATGACAATCCCTGAGGCCGCGCTAGTCGGTTCGTTTGGTTGTTTTTATACAAAATGTTTGCATAGTGTTGTTTGAATCCTTGATACAATGCGTTAGAAGAGGAAATAAGAGTGGCTTTTCCTTGATACCCCAATCGGCAACATCAAGCAGTGGTTTCCTTCCGTCTAGGCGGCGCACAAACACGCTGCGAATGAAGGCCATTTGAACATTGCGGTGATGCAGTTTCTGGACATTTTCGAGATCATACGAACTTCCTAAATTCGTTCATGTCCATATCGCAGTCAGAATGAAACAAGAAGGGACGAAAACAGGTCCTGTAAAAATGAATCTCTGAACATTTCAGAACTCAAAGAACAATTACAGAATCGCCAGGCTCCTGGGACCCACATACTCCTGCTACAGCACCAGACTGGGAACCCAACCCAACGAAACCATCCCATCCACCTAATAATCTCTTGTCGATCGATCCAAGCGAGATCAGTGCTTCAAGAACCCGAGGCGACATCTGCGCCGGGTGTTGTCCTCCTCCTCTACGCGGCGGGCTTGTAGAGCTTCTCCACCATCTTCCTGAACTCTGAACAACGAAGAACGAGAGGAAACGACAAAGCGAGATTCAGAACACGAAATCGCGATCGATTGTTGACGAGAACGAAGCGATATGTCGAATCGCGTACCTTCCTGGTTCGCCCAGAGCGCCGCGGCCTGCGTGTTGAGCGGCGAATCGTTGTTCGGCTCTGCATAATCCGTCCGTCAGAATCGAGGGGAACGCACGCAGACGCAGGAGCACACGAGATCGATGGATCGACCGAACAGAGGAAGGAACCGGTTGCGACTCGTTACCTCCGAGCAGGCTCTGGATGGAGAGGAGGATGGTGCGCACGTCGTAGGCGGAGGACCACTTGTCCTGGAGGATGTCGAGGCAGATGTTGCCGTGCACGTCGACGTTGGGGTGGAAGCAGGGGGTGTCGAACCGCACCTTGGGCGGCTTGTACGGGTACTCGGCGGTGAAGGCCAGCGCGAGGCGGTAGGAGGTGCCCTCGTAGGCCGTCCCGGCGGAGCCCGCGATGGTGCCCACCCAGTGGAGCATGTTGTCCCCCTCCGGGAACGCCGACACGCCCGGGTCGCCGCCCATCATCAGCGCCATCAGCTCCGACTGCAGCCGCCGCACCACCGACTGGCCCTCCGCGCCCTTCCCGGCCCCCGCCGACGCCGGCTTCGCACCCGGCGCCGCAGCGGATGTGGCGGGCACGTTCCCGGTCTGCGACTCCTGGTTCTCTCCCCGGGCCATGGCTGACGATCGAGTGGGTGTTCCTCCCTTTTCTATCTCCCTTTCTCCTCGGCGGGCGGCGGCGATTGAGTGGGAGGCGGTGGGAGGATCGAGAGCGGTGGGAGCGGAGGCGGCGGTGGGGCGCAGGATTTAAAGGCGAGAGGCGATTGGCTCGGGATGGGAATGCGGAGCCTCTTCTGCCCTCTAGTGACCGTTGGGGGTGGCGCGGCACGTTGACAGCTTTCTGCCGCGTCAGCCGCGGCGCCGCCGCCGCCCTGACTACAACGGCTACTTCAGCTTTAGGGGAGAGGACAGATGTACACGCGTCCGCAGTTGTCTGACCTCTGACTTGAGGGCCCGGGGTGGCAGGTGGTGATCTGGCTTGGCTGACCAGCATCCAAATAGGCCCAGCCCAGCCCAACTCCGATCGCATAAGCACCAACCCCAAAGCAGCCTCCCGGTCTAGCTAGGGTTTCGTCTCCGCGGCTTGCTCTAATCCTCTCCCGGATCGCGAGGTAGGTCGGTGCCGCTCTCGCTGTCTCTCCCTCCCCACGCGTCGAGTCTCTCTCCCGCTGATCCGCTCAGCCGCATCGCAGGGCGCAGCGTTGATGGCGGCGGCACCGGCACCGGCACCGGCGGACGCGAAGGCGGAGGCCGCCAAGATGGACCTCCTCGAGGACGACGACGAGTTCGAGATCGACCAAGGCACGCGCACGCCCCCCCTCCCCTGCTTTCGTTTGCGCGGGCACGTTGATTAAGCCATTTGGACGAGTAGATTTGATTGGTTGGTTAGATGGGAACCCGTGCGGTGTTGCTACTGTCTCGGGCATCAGATCCAATCGGTCAGGGACGGATTTGGGCGAAACCATGGGGAGTTGCAAGGAGTTAGTTGTTTTTGTGATGTGGAATAAACTTTTGTGCTGTTAATGTGGCGCCTGATTTCGTTTGAACCTGCGCTGGTACTTCAGAAGTAACTAATCTTTGTGTTCTCTAATCTTTAGCTGTCAGTTGCTGTTGCATGTAATTCTATCCCGAAAAATCAAATCTCCTTGTATATTTTCTAGTTAGTTTGGCAATTGGCATGAAACATTGTTCTGACATTGGTGCAGTTAAGTGCTCGCATTGTTTATCACACATGCAGTCTTGTATAACTACAACAGGACTACGCCTGAATATTGTAAACCAGCTGCAAAATTGAGGGTTAATCCCAATGCTGTTCCATTGAACGTAAGAAGTGTGAACCAAACACTACTATATTTGTAACTGGTGTTTGAGCGTCTAATGCTGACTTTTGATCTAGTGAGTTAAACTTCATTATTCAGTAACAGTAAATGCTAACATGCTATTCACTTAGATGACAAAGAAACAATGCCATAAGCCATGTTGAAAGAGATGATCAAGGGGCACATCTGCACATGTCATTCTCAGAACTTTTCCCTTTATCTTCTATTTTCTGTCTTGTGTAGTTGTGTTTATGTGCAGACTTCTATGTGCATCCTGTTGTTGCTTGTGTTTTGCAATTTGGACTTTGCAATATGGTTACCTCTTGTTCCCAATCAAATATTACGATTTATTAATAGTCACCCTGTGTCCTAGCCTCCTTAGGTCTAACTAAAATTGAACTAATCTAAACAGAAAGCCAATTCTGATTTGTAAAGAAGAGGAATAGTGATATCGTTCGACTGAATAAAGAAATAAAATGGATGTATTATTTTACTCAAACTCAACAGATCCATGATGAGTACTTACATTGTGTCTTGTACAGTAATTTGTACAATTCTACTGTATTGCAAAGGTGAAGTCAGTTTTGAAATCAGAGTGCAACATATATAGTAGGAAAATTTTGCTCTATCTGTTGTGCAAAATTGCATCTGTCTGGATTCTGGAGTCCTGTCCTCATTGGGTCTAGGTAAAATTGAACCACTCTTAATGGAAATGCAATGTCCATTCTGATTTGGGAAGAAGAGTGGCTATTATAGAAATCCTATCCCATTTTCTAGTAACGCCTCATGATTATAGCTTTGCCTCTATCAAAACTGATGGTTTGATATGTGTATATACTTGCTTTACTGGTTGACAAACTAAACTAACAGTTTCTACTTGTAGTCAATCATGTGTATATTTTTATGTGACAAATGGCACTGTCACATACATGTTATGTCTCTTGTTGTAAGTAAAACTATATTGTTTGACACGACATGATGAATTAGTATCATTGTTTTTGTTTCTTACTCACACAGAGCTAGATATAATTCATTTTCCCTAATTGTTTCTGTTAGTTCTAGGAGGGGGGAACTTCTAAATTTCTTAGAAGGGGTTGAGGGAGTATCTGTTTTGCTGATTTGTCTTTTCTCTTAGCTAGTAAAAAGATGGAATTTGAATCTGATGCCACAAATGGTTTTTTTACTATGCTGTATGGATAGGGAAGATAGATATGTTCCGGAATCTTAGTTTGACACTTAAATTTGTGTCTCCTCATCTTTTTTGCCTCTTCTAGTGTTTTCCTCTTCTGGTGTGTCCTAAAGTGACATAGTTAGTTCTGCAAATCCCTGATTTTTTGAAGACTAAGGGTTATATATGTTAGTCTTAATGGATGCTTAATTGATATTATGATTACATTTTGGGTCACCATAGTAAAAGTTATTGTCAATAACATCTCTGCACTGCTTCTATTTGTCCTGTTTCCATTAAAGTGCATAGTTAGTATGCTAACCTGTGGATATGGAAGGGTTGGTAGTATATTTATTTTAGTCGCAAGAGATACTTAGCCCAATTTGTTAGTTGCATTAGAAAGGCTTCGTTATTGTTGCCCTTCCTCCGGCCCTGAATAAATCAATTCCTGTAGTTGTCTCAACTCTCAAGTCAAACTTTTTATGAAACCAAATTAGTATCATTAGATTCCCAATAAACAATATTTTTATAATTGCTTATTTGGTGTCAAAAACATTTGTGCTCTTCTCTATAAATTTGGTCAAACATAAAAAGGTTTGACTCAAGACAACTCTAGAAATTGATTTATTTATTCAGGGACAGAGGTAGTATTTATCATTTTTGGCAATCGTTGAATACCTATAAAATTTCTTTCTAATCTGTCCCATCAGCCATCATGCCATCTAGCTTATTCCTGTGGAAGATGTTAGTTACCTAAGTTGTGAATTTGCTTCATGACATCTTAGTATCAGATTCGAAAATCCTCCATAGCTTCTGCTATGTCATTGCTGGTTGTGTTGTTCAATCTCAATAGCCAATAACTGAAGTTGAGAAGTGCATAACCATAATTATCACGGATTGATGGATGATACAAGTGATGTGTATGGATGTAAGGATCCGATACCATGTAATCATGAACCATGTTCACCAAGAGGGAAAACTACCGTTGGAAGAGTGGTCTTTTGGCATGGGTGAAGGTGGAGGAAAACACTAGATGGAGGGC